AAAGGCAAGGGAGAAAAGGAAAGATACAGAATTGAATGCAGAATTCCAGAGAATAGCTGGAAGAGATAAGAATGAACAGTGCAAAGAAATAGAAGAAAACAATAGAATAGGGAGGACCAGAGATCTCTTCAAGAAAATTGGAGATATGAAGGGAACATTTCATGCAAAGATGGGCATGATAAAAGACCAAAATGGCAGGGACCTAACAGAGGCAGAAGAGATTAAGAAGATATGGCAAGATTACACAGGAACTATACAAGAAAGAGCTTAACATCCCTGATAATCACGATGGGGTGGTCACTGACCTCGAGCCAGACATCCTGGAATGTGAAGTCAAATGGGCCTTAGGAAGTCTGAGCAACAACAAAGCTAGTGGAGGTGACAGTATTCCAGCTGAACTATTCAAAATCTTAAAAGATGATGCAGTAAAAGTACTACACTCAATATGCCAACAAATTTGGAAAACTCAGCAGTGGCCACAGGATTGGAAAAGGTCAGTTTACATTCCCATCCCAAAGAAGGGCAATGCCAAAGAATGTTCAAACTACCGCACCATTGCACTCATTTCACATGCTAGCAAAGTTATGCTCAAAATCCTACAAGCTAGGCTCCAGCAGTATGTGGACCGAGAACTACCAGAAGTACAGGCAGGATTTCGAAGAGGGAGAGGAACTAGAGATCAAATTGCCAACATACGCTGGATCGTGGAGTAAGCTAGGGAGTTCCAGAAAAACATCTACTTCTGCTTCATTGACTATGCTAAAGCCTTTGATTGTGTGGATCACAACCAATTTTGGCAAGTTCTTAAAGAGATGGGAGTACCTGACCATCCTATTTGCCTCTTGAGAAACCTGTATGCAGGTCAAGAAGCAACACTGAGAACTGGACACGGAACCACTGATTGGTTCAAAATTGAGAAAGGAGTTCGGCAAGGCTGTATACTGTTGCTCTGCCTATTTAACTTATATGCAGAACACATCATGAGAAAGGCGGGCCTAGATGAATCACCAGTTGGAACTAAGATTGCTGGGAGAAATATCAACAGCCTCAGATATGCAGATGATACCACTCTCCTGGCAGAAAGTGAAGAGAAACTAAAGAGCCTCTTGATGGAGGAGGAGAGTGCAAAAGTTGGCTTGAAACTCAACATTAAGAAAACTAAGATCATGGCATCCGGTCCTCTCACTTCCTGGCAAATAGATGGGGAAGAAATGGAGGTAGTGACAGATTTTATTTTCCTGAGGTCCAAGATCACCGTAGACAGGGACTGCAGCCAAGAAATAAAAGACGCTTGCTCCTGGGGTGGAAAGCTATGGCAAATCTAGATAGCATACTAAAAAGCAGAGACATCACCCTACCAACAAAAGTGCGTACAGTCAAGGCTATGGTTTTCCCAGTTGCAATGTATGGCTTTGAAAGTTGGACCATAAGGAAGGCTGAACGCTGAAGAATTGAGGCCTTTGAATTGTGCTGGAGGAGACTCCTGCGAATCCCTTGGACAGCAAGGCGATCAAACCGGTCAGTCCTAGAGGAGATCAACCCTGACTGCTCTTTAGAAGTCCAGATCCTGAAGATGAAACTCAAATACTTTGGCCACCTAATGAGAAGGAAGGACTCCCTGGAGAAGAGTCTAATGCTGAGAACAATAGATGGTAAAAGAAGAAGGGGACGGCAGAGAATGAGGTGGCTAGATGGAGTTACTGATGCAGTTGGTGTGAGCTTGAGTGGACTCCGGGGGATGGTGGAGGACAGGAAGGCCTGGAGGAATGTTGTCTATGGGGTCGCGATGGGTCGGACATGACTTCGCGACTAACAACAACAGTGGAGCATAATAGCATGTTCTCTTCCTCATGTAGCCCTGAGCTGCTGATTTTACTTGTGCTTGCAGAAAAGAATGGTTAATGCAACTCTCACACTGCTGCTGGGGCTTGCACAGTTTTAAGCTTTAATATAGTTCAGGTTTCAGTGTAATTTAGGTTTTAATGACAAGTGGGGGACTTGTAATTCTTTCATCACAGATATGCTGCTTTATGCAAGGGATGGAATATGTATTCTTAATAAAGAGACTGGAAAATATAGGATGGAAAATCATATTTTCTTTAGTAAAATAAATTACCCAGTCCAGTAATGTACTGCATTACATTACTGCATGATGTTCTTAAGCACAACATCAAATGGATGTTTGAACTGATTTTAGGTAAAGTACAAATGGTTCGTGTTAGAAGTAGATGCATACTTCAAAATAAAAAACAAACTTCAAAACTATTTAGTGTGCTTGTGAGATTTTTCATCCTGTGCTAATCAAAAATGACTTGACTTGCCTTTCTTCAACCAAAGTCAGTGATAATGCATTCGCTTGTGTGAACTAGATTGTAATAATTCCTATTCTGCTGTTCTAGTGCAGCAAATGTGTGTCATGAATTTTTCAAACCATTTTGGAAAAACAGTGTGTGCATTTTAGAGGTTTTTGAAAACTTGGCTTTTGGGACATGGGAGAGATCGCAAATAGGGATTACATTACAGTTTTGAAATAATTATATCTTCATCCAGAATATATATAATCTGTTGAACATTGCTATTGAGCAATGCTGTTGAGCATTCTCAACCTTGTAAGATATAATTCTTCTACTTCTTATGGTGCTTTGTATTCGAGAGGAAGACATGTTGGAAGAGGCCAGGCCCAGTTAAGATTGTTGCTCCATTTTTCTTGTGGCCCCAAGTGATGGGGATTATGGATTACCCAAAATGGCTGTATAGGAAAAAATATATCTATGGCAGTACAACATTGAAATGACTTGGATGGAGAATGCTTGGGAGTACTAGATATTCTAGCTTTGACGGGCCATTGTCTCTTTCGCAGAGCACATGCTTTGCATGCAGAAAGTCTCGGTATTTGTTATCTTCAGTTTAAGAGGTTTCTGCTAACAGGATTGTGACAGACCTTTGGGAATTGTTACCAGTTGGAGTACAGCACTGGCATTTGAGGTAGCAGTAGTCACTTTTGTTAATACCTGACAGTTGGCTAGTACTTTTTTTATAAGTATGTAAGCATCACCATTTTGAAATTAACAAGTAAAATTGATACATGATACCTGTTTCTTCAGTGATGTGTGTTTCCAGCTGCATGCTTCCCACCCCTATTACAATGAAATATTCTGAACTGTTAAAAATAAAAATAGTTACCTTAAAGAGAAACAAGGACTAGAATCCAACTTTAGTTTTTCATTTAAGAGCTGCATAGTTAGGATTATTTAAAAATACTATTTCTTACTGGTTTTTCATGGAATGTTTATATTAAATTAAATGAGAGCCAGTGTGCTGTAATGGTTAAGAGTGTAGGACTGGAACTCAGGAGATCTGGGTTCTAGTTCCCACATGCCCACGGGCACAGACTCTCATCCCAGCCTACCTCACGATGTTGCTGTTGCAAGGACAAGATTGAGAGAAAGAGGAGAATTATTTAGGCTTCCTTGAGTTCTTTGAAAGGGAAAAGGGTTAGGTTAATAAATAAACATTAATATGTGAGGCTAATTACATTAAGTATTTTGTTTATCCAGTAATTATTTGCTTGTCACTATGAATTTGATTATAACTGGATAATTAATTTCAGGTTTTTGTATTAAACTGGTAGTTGGCTTTAAGGGAAAGAAAGAAAGAACCGTAATGTTTGGTGATGGTAATGACTTTTGGTTTTACATGTTATTTTTATTCCCTACCTTGTCCACAGATGTAAAGACTTGTTTCAGTAGACTACCTTGTTAAAGCAGACATTAGCAATATATTTTTTTAAAAGATTCATGACTTTAAAATAACAAAATACAAAATGCAAATAATGCTGCTAAAAATGTGACCTTTTTCTAGCTAATAAGCATTTATTGAAACAAACATGCCTTACTATGACTCTGAGGATCATTGTTTTGTATATATAGAGTTCCAAGGGCCGAAGAACAGGCACTGTGAGAGCTCTCTCTGTGTCCTTGTCACAGGAAGCATATTTAAGAGGTTTTCCTAAGTTGTTGTCAAAAACTATGAAAGACATAAGGGAGAAAATCTCTGTAACGATTTGTAATGTAACCCTAACCCCAACATACTAAAAATGTTAGTGAAGAGAGCCAGTTAGTTGGCAAGTTAGTTTGATTAATTTTGTAGGTGAATGCCCACTCTGATGTGAACTCTCGTTGCGTCTGAAGCATGGGAGTTGTGGATGACCAGCTGAGGGCAGTATGCCAGCAGTGGTTGTTGGCAAGTCAATGGTAGGTGAGGCCTGGGCCCCTCTACACCTTTTCTGCACATTTACAAGCACACGCACAGCCTTTCCCTCCATTCATTGCTACAGAAGCACAGTGACTGCCACTCTCTGCTCCCCCCTCCCACCCTCTCTTTCTCAAACACACACTTCGCTACATAAACCCTGTCTCCCTAATCCCTCAAAATGCTGATCTTTGTCAGCTGTTTGAGGGAGATAAAGGCTAATGCCTCCCACCCTGGTTTTTTTTTATAGTTCAGAGATAGGCTGTAGTCTGTCTTGCTGCATAGTTTTTCTTTCAAGAAAAAGATACTTTAGGGGAAAATCTTAAAGAGCTGTAGGAGGAGGAGCAGCAGCAGCAGCAACTGTTGTTTCAGGGGCTCCGTAGCCTGCTGCATTACATGGTTTGGCTCTTTTTGAGAAAGCATGGAATACAGAGGCCTAGAGTGCCACAAGTGTTTGTCTTAGGCCCTCCAGGTACGAAGAGATAGAAAGAGACGAATTGGGAGGGCGCCTCAAATTCCTGTGTATAGTGGGGAATAAATAGCCCTCCCGGTGTGGGCTGTTTAAATTTTCATAAATTCTGATGCTGGAATCCATCCAAACAAAAAGGTCTTAATCTTGCTAATAATGAAATGCAGTGAACAAGAAAGCCACAGGCTTTCATATTCAGAAAAACATGTTTAAAGTAATGAGTACTAATAATTTTCCTCTTATCTTTATTTTAGCACTAATGCTTTACCCTTGGTTACAGATGATACTGCTGATGTCGGTGAAGAAGACAGCTTTCTAGGCCAGACTTCTGCAAATCCCAACCCTCCACCAACTTTCAGCTATTTCTCCCAAGTTCCCAGCAGCAGTGATCCCTTTGGAAACATTGGACAGCCACCATTAGGAGTAACATCCCCACCTCAAGCTGGAACATCTGTTTTCTCTAAGCCTCCAGTTTCTCTTCCACTCTTGCCTGGACCACAAGATGGGTCAAATGCTTTTTCATCACCTCTTTCCACTCCACAGTCTTTTAATACACCATCTACGTCACTACAAGGAATTGGTTCTTATCAAGCTTCCCAGCAGAGCGGTCCTCCAACAACTGGGTTTTCAGCTGCACCTCACGGCACATCACAGCAAGGCTACAACCCATATCGTCATACTACTTTAAGCAGTAGAGCCAATCCTTATATAACTCCACCTCAGCTCCAACAGACACAGACGCCCACTCAGAATGTCCATCCCCCACCCTCCATGCAGATGTATCCAGCTACTCCAGGGCCACTGCCACCAGTATGAACATTGTCTTATCATTTCTTATACTGATTATATGAACTTTAAGGGCTGTGAATGCATTGTTTCTCTAGTGACCCTAGTAGTGGTGCTGGTTTAATCTTTAATCTCCACTAATTTAAAACATTTGTCTCTTATTTCCAGAACATGACCAGTAGGAGAAATTAGGCCATGTTATTTAATTGGCAATTTAAGGGGTAGAAGAAATACTGTGGAGAACTTTACTGGACCAAATATATGATCTTCTAAATTATGGAAATATGCATTCATGACTGCCTCCTATATGGCTCTCATTCTTCCCACCACTATTAGAAGATGCAAAGAAAAAGAGAATAAAAATTGTTCTGGACCAGCAGTGTGGAACTTGTAGTCTTCTAGAAGTTGCTGAACTGTTACTCTCATTAACCCTTCCTAGAGCAGCCAATGGGGTTTATGGAAATTGCAGTCCAACAATATTAGGCAGCCACAAGTTGCCCACTGTTGTTCTTGATGTTACTTGATTTGGTTATAAAATATACCATAACATCTGTCAGTATGTGACCAGTCAATTCATCACTGTCCCTATCCAAGGTGCCTACAAAATTCTGAGACTAACTAGTCATTGCATGTAACTTTTGAAAGTTACATTTAATGGAGCCTTGATGCAAAGCTTAGATGTGGAAGCTAACAATGCCTAAAGTGAATTAAGCTTAAATGTAATTATTGATCAGCTGCATGGAATTAACTCTAAATTATATCGCTGGGCCTGATCAGAGGGTGCTCCTAGAAGTTAATTGAAGAAATGAGAGTAATGAACACAATTGTATTAATCCAGAAAGCAATGGATTTGGTGTACAAGATAGAGTAAAACTAAAAATAGAGTAACACTTTGAGCAAAGAATTATATGTTTTTAAACTGGTTTCATTTTCAGTTTTCATCACCGCAGCCACCTCAGCCTGCCATGTCGAGTGCATTGGTGAAGGCACCTCCTGTGCTGTTACAAAACCCATATGAGCCAGTTCAGCCCCACTGGTTTTACTGCAAAGAGGTGGAAAACAAGGAGCTTTGGATGCCGTTCAGTGTCCTAGATTCTAGAAATCTTGAGAAAGTTTATAATTCTGGTAAGATTACAGAAGAAAATCTGTATCTTTAATGAGGCTGTTTTGTCTTCGTACATAAAGAGTTGTTACCTTGTGATTCATGAGGAGAAAGATAGAAGTTGCTTTAAGTTGGACATATTTGCATATTGTTTGGAGATTTCTTCACTTGGACTGTGGAACCAGCCATATCCCACATTCAGTTATGAACATGATTTCTGCTTAACAAATTCCATGCTGTGCTTTTGTTTTTACAGGAAGCTCTGTGCTTGATTATTCCTGACACTTTCTGTGTGGGAAGGCAGTAAGGCGCAGCTTTCTAGCTAGGAGAGTGTAGAAAGGATAACATGTGCTCCCCATAGCCCATACACTTCTACAGTTGTCTTGACTGTAGAGAAGATCCAATAGAAATTAATGTGTAATATATGTCTGACTATTGTAACACCAAAAAGGTAACATATGGACCACTTGTATTAACTCTTTAGCACATTTGTTAATGTAGGAATAAACATTAATGTTTGTCATGGCTAAGAAAAGTTCAATGAAATAGGTGGTATTTATTGAGAAGAGAGTACATTTTAGTTAGAACACAATGTGACTCAACATTAGCAATGAACATTGCTTTAATTTATGTAATCCTTGGGTATTTACTACTTTCTTATACATTTGTTGCAAAGAGTCAATAAGCCAATTGTTTTCCTAAGTTTTCATGTTACTTCTGTTCCCTCTTCCTTCTGTATTGAATCTGTGTAGCTTTCCTGTTTTGTGTATTTTCTGGTATTTGTGGTGGTGTCCATTCCTACGTACACCACTCTTCTGGGTACTGGTAGCAAGTTGAAAATTAAGAAAGTGTTATCTGAGAATATTAGAGTATTTCATATGCTGTGTGCATTTTGATAGTGAACATAGTGGAACAACTGGGAAAAGAGATATGGCATAGTGACTCCAAAAATCTTTCCAAAATGCCACTTTGCTCAGTAGCATTACGAGTTAAACTTCAAAATTTCGCTCTTCAATACGAAACTTGAAAAAGGGAAGACTACTACTTATGTGTACAGACTAATCAGTTGGAAGAGGAACAGACATATTGCCAAGGTAATAAAGCAACTCTCTTTATACTTTTAGTGCAACCTGATCCAGAGAATGTGGTATTGAGTACTGATGGAGGACGCTATGATATTTATCTTTATGACCGAGTAAGGAAAGCTGTATATTGGGAGGAAGAGCAATCTGAAGTGAGACGATGTACTTGGTTTTATAAGGGAGAGAAAGACAGCAGGTTTATTCCTTATACAGAGGATTTCAGTGAAAAATTGGAGGTGAGTGTCTATGTATGATTCCTTGCTGTGTTGTTGTTGTTGTTGTTGTTATTATTATTATTATTATTATTATTATTTGCTATAAGCATGATGGGAGATTGCCATCTTTATTTTTTTCCTTGCTAGATTGAGTTCTGTTGGAGTCATGCTGTCAAGGATGGGAATCTGGCAGGGGCACAGGATAAAGTTCAACTGGGTCTCTTTTCCCTCTCTGCCCACCAGATCTTCCCCCTCCCCCCCCACCCCCCATTTGCTGCTTCTTGTCCTCATCTAAGGCTAAGATAGCAGCCTCAGAGAAGTAGGGGGCAGGAGTTAAAAACTAATGGCAATTTTTTCCTCTGAGGTGATAGCTCTGCTTAGACACTATCTAGAGGCTATAGTATGGTATCCTTAAAAGCATTTATTTTTATGAGAAAATAAAAATGTAGACTACTATACCTTGGGCTGACTATTGTGACAAAACCTGGTTATCAAGTATCAGATGTCATAGTGACTAATGTTACTACTACCAGCCTCACACAGTGGCCAAATTTTTTGTTTTCTGTAACTAAAACACTCACTGTGTTAAGACCAGTGTGTTTGTGCTTTATATTTATGGTGCTAATTACTTGCCCATGTTTCCAGTAAACAAATAGGAGACTAGAGTGTTCTATACTACCCATTTGCCCATCCTATGATCTTTTGTGGCCCAGAGATTCAGTAGCAGAATAGCAGTTAAAATACATAAAATGTGTACAGTACTTGAAATATCTCCAATACTCTCAATAAATGAAACAAGTGTGAGTTTTTAAAAATGTCCTTTGCCATGTCTTCTTAAGAAGGTTTGATTTCTATTACTGGATCACTTTTTCAGGGAGAATATAAGAAAGCAGTTACTACGAATCAGTGGCACCGACGATTGGAATTTCCAGGTGGAGAAACTATTGTTATGCATAATCCTAAGGTATTAAGAATTCTTATTGCAAAGTAATATTGCATGTTTGCTATGTAAACAGTTGTTTACTCAGGATTGTCTATTAGCATACCTTTCCTTGATTGGAGTCTAAAAATGGTATTACTAATGGTGTTTCCTATGTAGAAAGGAAAAGAGGTAAATGAAATACTCACAGATCCTTTGTATTCCACATGCAGTTTACTATTTTAAAGACTTGCACCTTCATTGGAGTTTGTTTTTCGTGAAAAAGGAAATTGATATAATTCTTTTTTGATTGGTTTTATAACAATTGGCAAAAGTATATTTGCCAGGTAATGCGCAGAGTAATTCTAGGCATATTGACTTAGAAGTAAATCCTGTTGAATGCTTTGCCCAGATAAAAGTGCTGAGGATTGCAACTTTAGTTAGTTTCCCTCAATCTATCTTAGGTTATAGCCTAATAGCTTTTGCAAGTTTTAAATTAAAATGTATATAAATATGGTATGTTGTTCATTTTGATCTTTCAGGTCATCGTTCAGTTCCAACCTTCTGCAATACCTGATGAATGGGGTACCACACCGGATGGTCAGACCAGACCAAGAGTGGTGAAACGTGGGATTGATGACGATCATGAGGAAATTCCAGATGGTAAGTGAACCAGGATCTGAGACAAAGTACGCATACCCTTTCCCCTGCTTTTTCTCCAAAATGCCTTCATATGGCAATGATTTAGAGTACAGCTATATTTTATCATGCTGTTTCATCCATGTTTCTTCTCTTGTTGGGATGAAAAATTCTTCTGTGATGTAGTAGTTGAGTGTGGGAGTGAGGCTCAGGTGATCTGAGTTCTAGTTCTTGCTCAGCCATGGAGCTCACAGGGTGACTTTGGGTCAGTCACAGACTCAGCCCAACTTACCTCACAGGGATGTTGTTGTGAAGGATAATATTAGGGTGGTAAAGACCTATATAAGCCACCTTGAAGTTCTTGGAAGCCAAAAAGGTGGAATATAAATATTCCGTAGAATAAATCAATCATTGTGCATGCTATGCATCCAAAATATGGTATAGAATCCTATTTGGGAGGTTTGTATAACTGATGAATTTTCAGTGGGAATCCTTCACATTTCCTGCTTTTCATATACTGGTGTTTGTGTTTTCACACCCAATAACAAATAAAAAAAATCTTTGTAGGGTGCATGATCTTGGTTTACCAGTTGATCATCTAGTGCTTGGCTGTTGTTTATCCATTGTTCTTTAAACCTTAATTACTGCCAAGCCATTTGAGTCACTTGCTACAGTGGACTTATGTTTGCTGTCTTGGAACCAGCATTCCTAGTGTCAGTAATATCTACCAGGCCTAGTGAGTTGTAGTAAGTGCCCTGAAAATAAACCCAACCTACATGTTCCACCACAAGCAAAGAGTGCTCTGTCTTAGCCTTTTTGACCCTGATGATCTCTGAATTCCATCTTAATACATGTCAGGTTCTAGTTCTTCCCTTCAAACTTCCAGAACAATGATGCACATCCAGTAAGCACAATCAACAAAGAATGAGTCTCTGAGCATGCACAGAGCATTTTGTTGAACCAAGTCCGGTAACTACTCCCAAGAACTGTTGTTCTGAATAAACCTGCTCCCCCATCACAGCCACTGCATCATGCAGTCAAGAGTCATATTATCTGGCTCCTGTCCCATGACCCCTCCCAGTAGTTGTAGATCCTGGCCATTCTCAAAGTCTGCCTGAACAACTGAAGGGGGAATCATGATGCAATGCAGCAGCGATGTCCATTGCTCCATGCCTTATCTCATTTCAAAATTTATAAATTGACTTTGAGAGAGTCTTTATCTCTCTAAATGACAAGTGAATGACAGAAAGTTATAAATTTGTGGCTTTGACTGTATTGGCTGTACTTGTTTAAAACCCCTTGGCAAATATATTCTATTTTACTTTATTATCCTTTTTTCTTTCTGTTTATGTTAAGAAAATAAAATTAATTAAAAATAAAAAAGAAGTTAGGCTTGAAATAAGCTCCTCTGCCTCTTCCATCCTGATATCTGGAGGCCCAACTTCCCAGGGCCCATCTGAAAAGTGTGAATCTCCCTGACCTTGAAACTCATGCCTAGAACAACTTTCTCTTTCATCCCCAACATCTGGAAATAGTGCTGCCAATCTTCTTCTCTGCCCCTTCTAAACTTCTTGCACCTACTCTTCATATGTTGCATATTGCACAAGCGCTAGTCTTTATAAGGCAAGGATTGAGACTTACTCAATTGCTACACTTATTTTTATGGTAGGGGCAAGTGGTCAACATTGTCAGTGCTGGACAGAGAATCTCATCATGGGGGCTGCATGCCATCAAGGAATCCTATGATTGATGAATTTTCTGTATCTGATCTGAATACATTCAGTTCAGGCTCTGGTCCTTCATTGGTGTTTGCTAGAAGTATCTCCATCCTAGAACTGTATAGTGTGGCTACATAGTCAAAGTTATCTATGTTTGTTAACCATTAAAACTGGCTGGGTGTTCGTGCCTGAGCTGACTTTTATTATGGGTGAGCAGTACTTTCAGCTGCTCGTTATAGAAGGTTCCCTATATAGAAGGTCTGCCCAGCATATACCCTATGCACAAATGACCACTCGGAATATGCTTTACAGGTATGCAGTTTTTTTCACTTCTGTTTTCAGGGGAACAGCAGTGTGTTTCCCTCTCCCTCTCCTTCTCATGTACACAAACATTAGGGCTCTCAAAACATTATGCACAAAGATCAATAAGAATTCAGAAAAATAAAAGAAATGGTTTTAGACAAATTATGCCTTTCGATATAGAAGATCTAACATATTGTCAGATGTGATATAATCTGATGTCACTTTTACAAAAATATTTATGGTCATTTCCCCAACCCATTTCATTTTGGAATTTACTCAGTACTACTATCTTTAATTCATTTTTTTTAATAGGTGAGGTAGCTCAAATTGACCATTTAGTATTCATTGTCCATGGGATTGGCCCTGTCTGTGATAAACGATTCAGAAGCATCGTTGAATGTGGTAAGTTTTTAAAACTGTGCGGGGGGCATGGGGGGGGGGAGGGAAAACCTTTAGTAATTTCTGCATTTCATACCTTATTGCTTATGCTCTTCCTTTCTGCTCTCACAGCTTTATATGTAACCGATCATTTACATCATGATAATATTCTTTGCTAGTGGTATATCATCATGTGTACAGATACCTTTAGGCAAACCTGCACAATAGATGTCATGTGGATGCAGGTTTAAATCATTTTTGCAGATGGTGCATCCAAAATGATAATTTTTAAACTGAATTAACAGTCTGTATGAGTGAGGGGGGAAATGAATAGAGCAACTGTTTTTGGAAAGGAGTAAATTCTTTATTGCTAAAAAAGCTACCAGTAAGCGGAATTAGAATTAATACTTTTCATGAAATTATTAGGTATGTAAAAGCCCTGATGACTGTGTCAATTGTCAGGAAGAGAGGAAAGAAGGATAGTCAAAATGAACTATTTTTAAAGCATTTTGTCAGTGAACTTTGTAATGCAATTAATGTTTTGAATTGTCACTATTCCAACATTTTGTGGGGTTTTAAAATAAAAATGTGATTAAGGCAAAACATCAGCACTGTTTATTTAATGGCTTAAGCTTTTATGTGTTATTTTTACAAAACCATATTTTGGGATATGGCTATAAGTTTGTTCAAATAACATTAACCTCCATTATTTATACTTTTCTCCTCTTTAAAAAGTTGATGATTTTCGGACCGTATCTCTGAAACTGTTACAGACGCATTTCAGAAAGTCGGTGGAAGAGCTGAAAGTGAACAGGGTTGAGTTCCTGCCTGTTCATTGGCATACTGCTTTGCATGGAGATGCAACAGGGGTGGATAGGTGGGTCTCTTATACGGAACTACCATAATAAAGTGCTATTCTTGTCTAAATCTCTTCTAATACGTTTTAGCAGGGCTGGATTTTTATTTGGTAACTGATGATGGTCCCAGAGGTAAGCTATAAAAGTGCTGTTAGGCCAAATATTAGCCTTTTATGGTTAGTTATTTGCTTAACTCTCCTTGTTTCATTGAAGTCAAAGCAAGTATTAAGTCTGCTTTAGGCAATGCTGATGGAAGGGATCACACAATAGTAATTGCTGGTTTTGCATAATGGCTTATTTTCCCTGTCCTGTGTGTCCTTGTTGTCTGCTTTCCTAATTACTAATGTCAGGTGTCAACCCTTCTTTAGCACTCCTATGCTTATGGACCTGAAATTGTAGAAAAATTCATGTACAGTAGGAAGTGGTACTGATACAGGGCAGGATTCATGTTCATGTATTGGATAGAACCTCAGATCAATGATTTGCGATTCAGCTAGTTACAAATAATTGAGTGTGATGTGTAGACCCACATTGCTGTCTGTTTAGGGGCTAAACAGTCCAGCAGTTAACTCATAACTGATGGGTTAACCACTGATTTATTTAGCCCTAAGCAAACCAGAGCTCCTGGTTAATCCACAATTTACCCTTATGGTCAAACTGGGTTGTCACGTCTGATGCATAGGGTCAGTTTCTTGAAGTAACTCTTGGAGTGATTTGATATCAGAAATCAGTTATTTAAACAATTAGGTGGGAGCAAAGAATATGGAAAAAAAAGTTAAATATTGGATTTGGTTGGGGTTAGGATAGATAGTCTGTGAAAACATCATTGGTAAATTGCTAAATGCTATTGGGATCCTCCTGTTTTATCAGAGGTTATTAAAAATTGCTCTGCTTGTAATCTATTGATTTTTCCCCCTAGGCACATTAAAAAAATAACTTTGCCAACCATAGGACGTCTGCGTCACTTCACCAATGAGACTCTACTCGATATCCTGTTTTACAATAGCCCCACCTACTGCCAAACAATTGTGGATAAAGTAGGATTGGAAATGAATCGTCTGTATGCACTTTTCATGAGCAGAAACCCTGACTTTAAAGGAGGAATCTCTGTTGCTGGTCATAGTTTAGGTATAAAAATAATTAAATAAATGCACATTCTGTCATTGTAAAGCAAGCAAAAACCAATTAGCTCTTTTGATGGTAATTTAATTTTTAATTGCACAACTCTCAACAGATCTGACCAAAATGATTTGGTTTCTGAAACTGTAAATAGGATTCCATATGTTAGACAAATGAGAAGCTGAGAAAGCATATCCAAGAGGATTGCATATGAATCTCTGTTTAAAGCTGGATAACCAGAGAAAGATAATCTTGTAACAACTGCTGCTGTTACTGTTTTGTCTCTCCAGGTTCTTTAGTATTATTTGACATATTGTCCAACCAAAAAGAGTGTTCTTCCCCAGCTAATTCTGTGATTCCAGTTGCTGCCAATGGTATTGTGAAGGATGTGGCTGAATGTGACCATCAGGTATTTGTGCTAAAAGTGTTAAAAAAGTACAAATGGTGATTGTTCAAACTATTTAAAGACTTTATAGTCTTAATAATAACTGGAAATCTCCAGCCTAGTGAGTCTGCATTGTGCTCTACTTTACAGAAGTAGTGCCAAACCATTTCGCATTTGGTTTTCAGTTGCTTCTCAGACCTCTGTTGGCTGGATGACATCCGTGGGGAATTGCATCAATGGGTACCATGGTCACTGACCTCCTCATTCCACCTGATTTGCTTTTCTTCAAGCTGTGAAGCACAGAGCTCTATATCTTGCAGCAAAAGCTACTAGCAGTATAATTTATCCCAACAAAATAAACTCAATAACATAGTTGGAATAAACAAGCTGTTGAAACTAGAATCTATTTTTCAAAAAGAAGTCACAGATAGGAGTTTATTTGTATACTTAAGTATAGACAATGAACAAGAATATGAATATGCTGTGCTCTAATTTCTATGTAACATACAGGAATCAAACCAGTTTTTGAGGTCTAGTTATTAAAATAGTTATGCATGCACACTTCAATCCAAGCCTCTGACACACAGTTTTATAAAGAGTCTGCATGAGGTCATTTACCAAGTAGTTGACCCTACTTAGCAAAGTAAAAAAACCTGCTGTAAGTGCATTCCTAAACAGATACATACCAGAATATTGAGAGACCAGAAAAGATCTTAGGCTCCACTGCAAATATGTAATGTTAGTGTAGACAAGGCACTGTAATGGATTTATATCAGAAAGAATCACAGTACTGCTAAAGACCCACAGAATCTTTCCCTGGTGGGATCCTGCAGATTCTGTTTTCTCTTAGCAATGACATGACTGGGCTGGTGCTGGGAGGAGCAGCACCAGCCAAGTCCCAGGTTTTTATGGCGCATGCCCCTTCCTTATGTTGGCAGAGCATACCATGTGGAAGGACTCAAACACTGCGGGGAAAAGGAGCTGTTCTTCCCAGCCAAGTACTCATCACTTGCATCCCCATTGCTAGGAGTCCTGCAGGAGGGAAACCAAGGAGGATCCATGGGCTGGAGATTCCACATCTCCAGCCCATGGATAGGCTTTTATAGGCTTTTCATTTCCCCCCAGTGATTTTATTAATTCAAGAAGTTGTTCCTAACGGTAAACCTAGAAAAGCATTTTTGTTACATGCATGTGCTTACATATGAATTTAATGCACATAGATACAGCAGATTGCTGGGAGTTCCTCCCCACCTCAGCATTTTCATTTATATTATTAAAAGGGGAGTCCTACCACACACATCAATATTTTCATTAAATATATTGAGGTAGACATCTAAAGTGTTCTGCATTAATCCTAGCCATCTAGGAAGGCCGTAGCAGTTATAGGTGGCTTATAAATACATGTATAAATAAAAATAAATAAATTGGAGGGCTCCCTGCAGTACCATCATTTAGATGCAAGAACTTGAACCTAGTGGCTTCTGCATTCAAAGTCTATTGTTTTTGGTTTCCCAACAGCTTGGTGTATTTGTTAGTGCAAAAGTTCATGCTGTCACACTATTGCATTCATCTTTTGAGCTATGCTCAAAATATTATTAGATTTATATCCCTCTTTTTTCTTACGAACTCAAAGTGGCTTACCTTTTTCTCCTCTCAGTCTCAAAACAGAACAATTTATAACTCAGTGATTGTTTAGTTAAGCTGATATTGATATACTATGAGTTTCACATAGTGACAGGAATTATCTTATATCCTAATTTGTATTTTCTGTTTTGTCAGGCGACAGTAGATTCCAATTCTACTAGTTCCTTGCTTTCTCTTTCAAATGATGATCATGCTATTGAGGACGATGCTCCAACCTTGGAAAGAACTCTGGAAATGCTTAGCTTATCAGAATACATCAGCACATTTGAAAAAGAGAAGATTGACACAGAATCTCTGGTACAGCAAATACTTCAAATTATCACAGAGAGGTAGCAAGTCAAATATGGACTGCTGATTGATATTGCTCATCTAGGTCTGAGATGGAAGTTGTTTTAATTGGTTAGGTGTAACCCTCTGCACACCCTGCTTTACGTACATAAGGATGTTGCTGTTGTTGATGATGTCATTAAATTAACTTGTATACCGCTCAGTAGCCAAAGCTCTCTGCACAGTTTACAATAGTACAACAGAATACATTGTGATCAGAGGAGTTTGGATCCCATGCTCATTCCATAAGCACACATAAAAAGACTTCTTATTAATAGTAATATAACACCTTATCCTCCAAAAAGCCATTGATATGATGTGCAACAATTTAAAACAATAAAACCATGCAACAATAAAAACAAGAATGGAAAAATATTAAAACATTGACTGGGTTTGGACAACATAGCCCATCATGGTTTGCCGTCCGTGATGGGTTGTCTTGTCATGTGAAACTGAACTAGTTTTCCCAGGGTCACTTTTATTTGGACAACAAGCTATCCAAACTAGTGGTGGCTGGCCGAGGAGTTGTTGTGCTCATGATGGACTGTCATGTTGTCTAAACCTGGGTGACCAGCATCATGAGTACAGGGAATTGGCTAGTGAGTTTCATGGCAACAACAGCAAAAAAAAATTTGCTAGCATTGTTAGTGTTGCCAGCCGTTTCAGGCCCACTGATGCTTTTTTCTTTAAAGTTCTTATTCATGAGCTTGTGAAAGCCAGCTGTGAAGTCAGCTTTTCCAATCCCTGTTTTGTCAGTTATGAGCAGTCCCTTCAAATTGTTCTAGCCACACCATGGACAGGCTGCCCATGGCTTTGCAGCAATTGTGTTTTTTCGCACTCCAATTTTTCCAATTATTTTTGATGCAGTCTTTCATATAAATGTGACTGCAGGGTTCTGAAGTCACAGGCAAGGGGCAGCAGCTAACCACATTGAACTTTACTTCATCTGATGCTTGAGATTAATTTCTCCCACTTGAAGTTTCTCCTGACAGCTTGTAGAAGGCAAGGTGCAAGAGAACTTTTACTGACAAGGGGCTGGAGTTACAACCCCTCACTGCAAAATCTCTGGGCCCACCTCCCACTTTGTCTAGGTAAAAGGAGTTTTGACAGCTCTCAGTAAACTATCCAATGTCAGTGTAGAGAAGTCTGCTTCATGTGAAGTACATAGTGTTAAGAAATTATTTGTTTATTTATATATTGCACTTAAAAGCCTTATCCCTTAGCCAAAAAGGCTCTCTGGGTGGCTCACACAGTATGACAATAAAGCAAGATTAAAACAATTCATTTAAGCAATAAAATAATAAAACAGTAACAAACAATAAAACTGACTGATAATAGAAAACCATATAAAACAATAATTCCATAAATAAATAAATTATCTGACAACTAAGACTCTCAGCATCCCATATGTTAGACAAATGAGAAACTGAGAAAGCATATCCAAGAGGATTGCATATGAATATCTGTTTAAAGCTGGATAACCAGAGAAAGATGATCTTGTAACAACTGCTGCTGTTACTGTTTTGTCTCTCCAGGTTCTTTAGTATTACTTGACGTATTGTCCAACAGGAACCACAATAAAATAGCTCACTAGTAACAAAATAAAAAGGGTTTCAATAGTTTTCTGAAAGACACCTGGTGGATTTTTGGTGACAGAGAATTCCAGAGGGTGGGTGATACAACAGAGAATGCCCCCCTTCTGGCCAACTCCCTTCTCACTTCATTGGGGGGAGGTACTTCAAGAAGGCCCCCCAGGGAAGACCTCAGTGAGGCATTTCCTCAGATACCCTGGCCCCAAGCCATTTAGGGCTTTGTGTATCAGTGTCAGAACTTTGAATTGGGCCCAGACAGCAACTGGTAGCCATTGCAGCCTGCGAAAGGCCAGTGTAATATGTTTTGGGAGACCAGTCCTCATCAGCATGCACATGGTCCTATTCTGGATTAATTGCAGTGTCCAGACTGTTTTCAAAGGCAGCCCCATGTAGAGTGCATTACAGTAATCCATGTGTGAGGTTACAGTGCATGAATAACTGCAGCAAGTCTCCACTCATCCAAGTAGGAATGCAGCCTGAGCTGGTAGAAAGCACTCCTGGCTACTGTGTCCACCTGAGAAATAAGTGATGACTTGGTATCCAGGAGCACTCCATGACGGTGATCCTTGTCCTTTATGGGGAGTGCAACCCTGTCCAGGACAGGTTGAAAATTCCCCAGTTGCAAAGCAGCAATCCCCCAGATAGGAGTGGAACCGCTGCAAAGCAATTTGCCCCCAATTCCCAGTTTGGCCAACCTTTCCTGAAGGATACCGTGATAATTGATTTCGAAAGCTGCTGAGAGGTCCAGGAGGATCAAGAGGGTCAAATACACCCCTTCTCATGGGGGATAGGGTGGAAACCACTCTATTTTAGATAGTGGCATCCATGCATATCAGGGAGGGCAGCCTCTGGCCCATACTGTCTTTGCAGGCCGTGCCCAGTGAGGGAGAAAAGTTAAAAGGGCAATCCCTCTGTTGGAAATAATCTAGGCATTCCCCTGCACTGCTACATGTGCCCTGATCACAGTATGAGTGTGCAGGAAAGTAGCAGTCTGACTTGCCCAGGACTTGTAGGAGATGGATCCTGCAAGTCCCAACTTGCACAACTTGTGTCCTGTCTGGGACTCACGAGGCATGGCACGGAGCAGCCCCACTTATCCAGCCGAATCATGACCAAGTTCTTTCCTGCACCCTGTCTTGACTGGGGTGTGAGCAGCAGGGGAGGAACTCTCAGTGTGTTTGGAGCTTGCCATCCCTTTCTCCGTGCAGAGAGATCATGAACAGCCCTTCTTTCTCCACACAAAGAAACTTTAAAAATGTGGACTGAGGCAGGTGGCATGACAGCAAGGTGCAGAGCTTCAGGGCTCGGCCCCACTCTCTTGACATCATCTAGCTCATTGGCTTGGCCCAGGGGTAGAGATACTACTTTTGATCTGGCCCATGGATAAAGTGATTGCCCTTTCCAGATGTACATTTTACAAAGGATGAGTGAATAAATCCCTGCCTTCAAGTGTCTTCCAATCTAGAAATCAACTCAAGGGAGGGAAATGGAGATAACGATAAAGGAAGGATTTTTAAAATCATTTCAGTTACATATATTTAGGTTTCATTATACTAGAGTATTCTGACATGTTTTGCATTTCTTGGGATTCATATTGTCACAGTAATTCTACAATAATGTTGAAATATGTCCATCTGCATCTCTTTCTTACTACACTGTGTAACAAGACACAGTCATTTGTATTCCTTTAAGGAAAAGTATTTGTTTTGCTTTTTTTAAAAGCTGATGTGTACAGTTGATGACCTGAAGGAAATGGGAATACCTCTTGGGCCACGAAAGAAAATAGCAAACTTTGTAAAAGACAGAGCAGCCAAACAGGTAGGGAATGACTACTTTGCAATCTATAAATCTCTGTTTGTTTGTGTTTTGTTTTTGGCAATGAAAGAAGTGTAAGATAGGCATGGTGGTACATACTGGTTTTTCCTATCTTTGGAAGTAACAACTTTCTAATTGTTACAGATCAGATCAGACCTTGCTTTCTCTTTCTAATACTCACTTATTTGTGTACCAAAAATCTGAAATAAACATACATTTGTTCATTGTCCTATCAGACTTTGTGTCCCAGGCTTTCAATCAGAGTGTTGGAAAGAGAAAATAATATTGTTAAAAGTCTCTTTTACCTTAATTATAACATGCAACTAACAAGAAAGTGTTACCCAAAGTAGGCTAGAAACTATTTAAGAGATGTGTTATATCCCTGATAACTGTAAAATATAAATTTGTGCCAGGCATTGAAAAGGAACTTGTTTGAAGGAAACATATGATTAGAACTTTTTTTTTTTTTGGAAATTACAATGCTATTTTTAAATTGCTGTGTCTCTTCAACATACCCCTTGACATTAGTACCTGGCTCACAAATGAAACATGTTCATTTGAAATATTTTAATATTTTGCTTCAAATTAGATAAATCTTGAAATTATTAATTTTAGCTGAAAGTCAACATAAACATAGAAACAGAGTGAGTCAGAAGGGGTCTCCCGGGCCATCTAGTCTGTCCCTTGGCTCTAGCCAGCTCCGTTCACAACGTATAGAACATATGTCCTATAATTACCAAAAACGTGGAGGGAGTAAAACATCTAGGAAGTCCTTGAGGTGTGTACTAGTGAAAAATGTTTCAGATCTAGGGCCCCACTAACTTGTCCTTTCTGCTAACATTTATGACTTTAAATGTCATAAGGGAAATAGGTGCCTGTGAAGGACAGAGTGTTCTTGGTGGCAGAACCCAGACTGTGGTCATTTTCATATAGGGATTTTTGTCGGGAATTTTCTTTGATTTCCTTTAGGTTTCTATGGAAAACTGATTTTTCCCAAGTTTTAGTGTAAATGTGAGAAACAACTCCAGATGTTGTTGGCTGCAACTTCTATCATCCCTGACAGTTGGCCATACTGACTGGGGCTGTGCTTTCCAGCAAAATAGGGAGGGCCACAAGTTCCTTCTCTTTGCTAAATGATTGTAAGATGCTTTGGGGAAAGGTGGTGCATGCATGCGTGTATTATGTACATACACACATGGGTGTGTGAACTAAATAATAAAGGCGATTTGAGCATTGGTCGAATGTAATACTTTTAAATAAGATAAAGTAAAAGTTGGCAGTTTTACTTTCTTTCCTGAGCATTTAAAGTCTTTGTTGAACAGGAACAGAGAAAAGCTGCACTGGAGAAAAAGGCAGCAATGAATGCCTTCGCACGGAACCAGGAAGAAGCTGCCCAGACAGTAAAGAAAGTGGCTAGTTTTCCTGAATCTTCTGAATCTGATATGCCTCAGGATACATCCAAACGAAGACTTCCAGTTGGAGCCTCTGTTTCATCTGCACACATAAACTATGACTGTTTTGAAGTTGGTACTGGTCAGGTATGTTTTATAAAAATTAAGATGATGTATTCCAGTCATATATTCTTTTTGGCTTATGCTGTATTTGCAATAGCTGTTGCCATTATACTGGGGGCACACATTGGGTAAAGAAAGGGATATATTAGTCCAGACAGTAGTATAAAGCCACATGATACACTTAAGCTGCAGGAGTTCAAGTGGATACAGCATTATGAACCTGCCCACCAAGTATCACCCATTCTAAAATAAAGTTTTAATGAAGTAAGTTTTTCTTAGACTTGTTTTGTTGTTGACAGAGGAGCCCTGCAACATCCATTTTGTAGGATACATCTGTAGAGTTAAAGTGTATTGGCCGACATTGGGTGAGGTATAAGTCATATTTGGATTATTCTCTTCCTTCTAGGTTTCTGTGGTATACAGCACACTTGACTTCGAGCCAGACATTTTCTTTGCTATGGGTTCTCCAATTGGTGTACTTCTCACAGTAAGAGGAGTGAGCAAAATTGATGAAAACTACAGGCTCCCCACATGCAAGGGATTTTTCAACATTTATCATCCGGTAAGTAAGATGCACATGGCTGCAGTCACTTTCAGTGAAAGGACCATAGACTGAGAACTTATTTCACTTCTATTTGCACCTTTTTAAAAGCTCAGGAGAACAATTTGCTAGTCTGAAACTGATTTCTAAAACCTTTTCAAGCAGTGTTGGAAGAATATACATCCATTTAGGACTACAGATTCTAAGATGGCAAATACGTATCCTCAAGTACAGCAGCCCTGATGCAAATCAGTGGACCTTGAAAGAGTTGCATCTCTGCACTGGGTTATACTCAGTATTTTTCCTATTTTGGCAGTTTTTAAGTCTTACAAAAGTATTTATTTTAGGTGAAGGCTTCTGTCATCTTGGGCTTTCTTTTTTTACCTCTATGTGGTAGGCAATATTTAAAAATTCTTTTAGTCCTTTGGCATATAAACTGTTTTGTTGGTGCAGAGGTTTTTAAATCTGTCAGTGCTGCTCATCATTTCTTATGTTTTTACATGTACAGTGCCTTCTTGACATCATGGGGGTGTGTATGTGTGTATGCTGGGATTCTTCAGATCCCATTGCCAAGGTCCTCCGAACTCAATTCTTGGGCTGATGGCTGAGCCCCTGCCCTCTCCCCTCTTGAAGCCAGCAAGAAAAAGAACTGCATGAGAGCAGAAATACACCTTGGAGAGGGGGAAAGGGTTTTAATGAAAACGCTTGGGGGCAAGGAAAGACTGGGGTTGTTTACCTGTGCTAATTACTATCAGTGCCCCAGCCTGCTTTTTTGGTGTGTTTATCTAGGCAGCTGAAAAATAAGGCGATCTAGAGAAAAATTCCTGAGTGAAGTACATGGGTGGCACAGATTGCTGCTGTATCTCATTAGATGCATGGAAGCCTTTGAGCTTGTAGATGCGCATCTATGTGGGGGTAGGGGTAGGACCATGTTATGTTTTTAATTTGTATGTATGTATGTTGTGGTTTAATTAAAATTTTGTATTATCTAGATTTTACTGTTAAATGTTAGCCACATTGAATACCATTCTTTGGAAGAAAGCGGGCTATAAATTACAGTATATCACAGAAGTGAGTACACCTCTCACATTTTGTAAATATTTTATTATATCTTTTCATGACAACGCTGAAGAAATTATACTTTGCTACAATGTAAAGTAGTGAGTATACAGAGCTTGTATAACAGTGTAAATTTGGTGTCCCCTCAAAATAACTCAACACACAGCCATTAATGTCTAAACCGCTGGCAACAAAAGTGAGTACACCCCTAAGTGAAACTGTCCAAATTGGGCCCAAAGTGTCAATATTTTGTGTGGCCACCATTATTTTCCAGCACTGCCTTAACCCTCTTGGGCGTGGAGTTCACCAGAGCTTCACATGTTGCCACTGGAGTGCTCTTCCACTCCTCCATGATGACATCACGGAGCTGGTGGATGTTAGAGACCTTGCACTCCTCCACCTTCCATTTCAGGATGCCCCACAGATGCTCGATAGGGTTTAGGTCTGGAGACATGCTTGGCCAGTCCATCATCTTTACCCTCAGCTTCTTTAGCAAGGCAGTGGTCATCTTGGAGGTGTGTTTGGGGTCGTTATCATGTTGGAATACTGCCCTGCGGCCCAGTCTCCGAAGGGATGGGATCATGTTGTGCTTCAGTATGTCACAGTACATGCTGGCATTCATGGTTCCCTCAATGAACTGTAGCTCCCCAGTGCCGGCAGCACTCATGCAGCCCCAGACCATGACACTCCCACCACCATGCTTGACTGTAGGCAAGACACACTTGTCTTTGTACTCCTCACCTGGTTGTCGCCACACACGCTTGACACCATCTGAACCAAATAAGTTTATATTGGTCTCATCAGACCACAGGACATGGTTCCACTAATCCATGTCCTTAGTCTGCTTGCCTTCAGCAAACTGTTTGCGGGCTTTCTTGTGCATCATCTTTAGAAGAGGCTTCCTTTTGGGACAACAGCCCTGCAGACCAATTTGATGCAGTGTGCAGCATATGGTCTGAGCACTGACAGGCTGACCCACCACCCCTTCAACCTCTGCAGCAATGCTGGCAGCACTCATACGTCTATTTCCCAAAGCCAATCTCTGGATATGACGGTGAGCACGTGCACTCAACTTCTTTGGTCGACCATGGCGAGACCTGTTCTGAGTGGAACCTGTGCTGTTAAACCGCTCTATGGTCTTGGCCACCGTGCTGCAGCTCAGTTTCAGGGTCCTGGCAATCTTCTTATAGCCTGGGCCATCTTTATGTAGAGCAACAATTCTTTTTTTCAGATCCTCAGAGAGTTCTTTGTCATGAGGTGCCATGTTGAACTTCCAGTGACCAGTATGAGAGAGTGAGAGCGATAACACCAAATTTAACACACCTGCTCCCCATTCACACCTGAGACCTTGTAAAAGTAACGAGTCACATGACACCGGGGAGGGAAAATGGCTAATAATGCCCAATTTGGACAGTTTCACTTAGGGGTGTACTCACTTTTGTTGCCAGCGGTTTAGACATTAATGGCTGTGTGTTGAGTTATTTTGAGGGGACAGCAAATTTACACAGTTGTTCAAGCTGTATACTCACTACTTTACATTGTAGCAAAGTGTCATTTCTTCAGGCTCGTCACATGGAAAGTTATAATAAAATATTTACAAAATGTGAGGGGTGTACTCACTTCTGTGATATACTGTAAATGTGTTAAATACTTTTTAAAATACTTTTAACACATTGGAGTATTTTATATCTGCTTCCTATTTGTTGCTTGGCAGTTGGAAGGATTCCTGCTAGATTTAGGTTGTTTAATCTATTTAAAATGGGTGCTAGTTGTAGCCTTTAAGAAAAAAGATGCTGTTCCTGATACCCATGAGCCCCATATACAGATTAAACTTTTGTACAGTTGTGGGGTTGTCCCCTTTAGTTCTATACTGGTTGAAATTTTGAAGGCTTTTCTTACATATTGAAGGGAGTGAAGCTTCTTCCTACTTGTGCAACACTCAGGCTGCCTTTGTGTATATATCAAACCCAGTGAGTCCACAGTATAGTTGAGTAATTAGTGTTTAATACTGGATTTTTAAAAATCATGGCTGGCTAGTAGTATGGTTATGATGGGATGTCTGTGCACAATGTAGTGCATTTTCAGAGTTGTAGACACATTTGTGAATTACACATAAATTTGGCAGATAGAAGAGCTTGAATAGGCTATAGCTTGAGTAGAGGGATTTTGAAAAGCAGACTCACTTCCTGCTTGCCAAATCACAGCTGTCTTATGTTATTTTGGTTACACACCCTGTTTTCCATACTGCACTGATTCTATATTGGAAAAACAAAGCCCTGTTGGGTTTGTGAAACTAGCTGTGCAGTTCTTCTACAGAACAGGTGTGGGTATTTGATCTGTAGATTCATTACTGTTTTTTGTTCTTTTGTTTTCAGCTTGATCCAGTGGCTTACAGGCTAGAACCTATGATTATTTCTGACTTGGACATAAAACCTGTTCTCATTCCTCATCACAAAGGCAGGAAAAGACTTCACCTTGGTAAACAAAGTCTATTCAAATATTTGTCAATATATTGCCTGAGCAGAGAAGTTGCCTATAGTTTGTAAATGTACAGACGAAACTTTTTGAGAGAAAAGCAGAAGGAGAACATTTGTGCTCAGAAAAGATTGAAGAGACAAAGGACTGAAATGGATATTCATTCATCGTGACTCCTGTACTTTTTCTGAAAATGTTCAAGTTATTTACCTATAGGTGACTCTGCAGTGTATGCCAGACATGCCCCAAAGAACCACACAGTGAGGCGGAAAGCAAATCCCTTTTTAACTCCATCTCCCATTGAGTTCTATCAAAATGAACAAATTGTGGCCTTTACTTCACTTTCCCATTATAATCAATTAGGAAGCATATAAACATTTGGACTTAAAGTAACTTGTGGCAAAGTAGTTTGAGGCAAAGTAAATGTAGGAATTGGGATTAGTCCTCTTATAATACAGCCTTCAAAGGGTATTGAAACAGATTCTTAGTCAGAACTATGGGGTGGAGGGAGTTGGAATTCACAATTCAAATGTCAAGGCCAGTTAACCTGATCAGAGCCATGCAGTTTCCAAAACTAGACAGTTTCAAGCTCTGTTGAAAATTCTCATGAGCAAGCTAAGATGGGTACAGGCAGACTTATCATTAGTCTAATTATACAGCATCAGGTTAAGAAGGTGGACCGATGACCAGTTGAGAAGTATTAGACATTCTAGGTGATGGGTCCATAATTAGCATGATCCACCTGGAAGGTGGAGTCTGCTTTTGCTTTGGAAAGGAGGGGAGCTGCCTAGTTTGGAATTAACTTCACATCAGTAAGCCACATTTCCTTATTGACTTTTACTCTAATTTGCTTGTATAATTTGTTACTGACTTCTGCAGTACTCTTCTGTTGTGTCACAAGTCCAGTGTGGTTGGTCAGCTTTAATATAAAGATGTTTGGTTTGCCTTTGTCCTGATCTACCTTGAAAAGACTCCAAACTCAATCCATGAGAATATCTCTCAGATTATCTACTTCTTCAGGAATTTTTGAAAAGCAATTTCTTTTCTGTGAAATTGAATTAGAATAGTAAAATAATGCAGAAGTACTAATTTTAGAACTTAGAAAATAGCGGTCCAACATTCTTTTCTGATGGAAGCAGTATACCCCATTTCTTAGTACAAATTCTCTTTTGTATTTTTTCTACATGCTCTCTAAAGCTCAATATTCAACAAATTGATGCATTTTGACTGTGTTTATTTTTTACCATGACATGCTTCTCTTTCTCTTTAGAATTAAAAGATTCTCTCTCTCGTATGGGATCAGATCTAAAACAGGGTTTTATTAGCTCTTTGAAAAGTGCTTGGCAAACCCTTAATGAATTTGCACGTGCTCATACCTCCTCTACTCAGCTTCAAGCAGAATTGGAGAAAGTGGCTCATCAGATCAAAGAAGAGGAAGAAAAAGAAGCAGAAGGTTAGTTGGTATATGATTGTTGTCCTTTTAGTACTATGGTCAGTTTTAAAACAGTCGCTTTGGCTTCAAAACATAAGCTCTGACCCCTTTTGGACTGGCCTACATGTTTCACATTTCTGCATTGACACTGCAGATCTAACCTTGAAGTCTCTGCATCACACATACCATCACATCATTTCAAAAAGTTACTTTTGCTTTGAGCATTTGGCCTAGTGGGAGAATTCTGTCTAATAGCACGTCATACAATCTCAACTTTTGTTAAATACATCACTTTGCATACTCTACAAATTTCACGTAATAGTAGAGTGTCTCTATTAAACTGAATGACATTGTCACAGGCTGGAATGTAATAACTTGCGAGTGATTTCTCTGATAGCAAAGAATTTGTCTGCTTCATCTGTACCTGGTGAATATTGTTCACCCTAGGTTTTTGGTTTTTTTTTTTTTTGCATTTATTTGTTTGTTTATTTAAAACTTTCATATGCCATCCCTTGTGCCTTGGCATCTCAGGATGGCTCACAATCCATAAAATTGAGTTATAATAAAACCCCATATATAAATAACAGAATTCAATAAAAAATTACATAAAAGACAAAATCAAAGCGACTGTGAAATTACCAATATCTAACAATCTCTATTCCCTCTCAATCTGTTAGGGAAATCAGATGAAAATAATGTATTTCTATTACCTGTTGTGAGTTTGACTACTGTCTTTGAATAGCAGTCTCCACTTCATCACAAATTATTTTGAACTCTTAAGGATGGCTTGTCATACAGTACAAGGGGCTGTTGTTTGCGAAACACAGGTCCAGTAGCTCTTCAATTACCTGCAGCAAGTCCCACAATTTAATTTGGATTTGTGCTTGGGATAATGACCACTGCCCTTATAATGGTACATTATACCACCACAAATAATGTAATCTCCCTCAAATATTTGGTTTGGGTTTTGCCTATAATCTGAACTTCAGTTTTACGATTGCATATATTTAAGAGAAGAGAAACTCACAGTTGTAATAAACCATATTCTATGAGTTTTGATATGGTGAAGCTGTAATGAAAAGAACAGAAAGATAGAACCAAATATTGATCAAGTAGTCAGCTTGTAATGCACTTACATGTTCACTTTCTTTCTACTGTAGCAGAAAAAAATGTTGAAAGCCCAGATCTTTCTAAAGATGAAGACTTGAGTATAAAAATTGGTTCGCTAAATGGAGGCCGCCGTATTGATTATGTTCTGCAAGAAAAGCCCATTGAAAGTTTTAATGAATATCTGTTTGCTTTGCAAAGTCACTTGTGCTATTGGTAAGACCCCCCCCCCCCCCCCCGGTACATCATGTCATAGTGCATCTTCACATTTCTTCACTTGTATTTATTTGAGGGTTTGTTTGTTTGTTTGTTTTAGTTATTTCTTTTCTGGCCTCAGCTGCACTTTTCATACAGAATGTTATAGCAAAAATATGCACCACCATTTTCCAAGTATACAATTGCTGACCTTATGAAAACACATATATCAATAGCACTGTCTTTGTTCCTAACAAAATCTGTTTTTTTAAGCATCAGATTATGTTGTTAATTGTAACTTTTTACTCTGGCATGGGTTTCTGTTATGTATCGCAGAAAGTACAAGGGTCCTTGTATCAATGTGGTTTATGAGTAGGTACAAACCAGTTAGAGTACTATGCTGCTGCACTGGATAAAGACGAAGGGGTTCTCTCCTTGTACCAGTGCAGTCTTGGCAACTACAGAACCTTTATGTGAGGTACCAAATGTTGTGGTCTAGGCATTCCACTAGAGAAAATAAATACAGGTGCTGCATAACAGCTGTTTACAGGCATTCACACAACTGGATTATCCATTTAATTAATCAATTAATTAATTAATTAAAAGTTTTTCTAGTCCGTCCCATACAGAACGTCTTGGGAAAGCTTACAAATTAATAATGGTGGTTTAGTGATAACACTGAGACTTCGAGTTACATCTGTGACTGTGTTATTATTTTGAGGTGAATAGTAAAACGTACCTTGCTTTTTGAGTAGCCTTTTCAGAAGGAAACATAATTGGTCACACAGAGGTTATACAGTGTGTGCTTTATGTGTGTGTCTGTTTTTCTTGAGTAATTGCAAAAGGGGATCAACCATCTCAGGTGATTTTATAGAGTCATTCTTTGTTGCTGTTTGCTTGTAGCTGTTTTAATCTTTTAACATGTTTTTGGTTTTTATGATTTTTAAATTGTATTTTATTAAGGATTGTTGTAAATTCCCCAAAGAGTGGTATATAAATGAAATAATAAGTAAATAAGCAAGCAAGCCACAAGTCTTCAAAACACTGGAAGCAGTGTTTCAGAAAAACATTTTTAATTTGAAAGTGTGCTTTCTTTATTATTAATTGACTACTGGTTTAACGGACCATCTTGTTGAACTCACTCTGCTTGTGTGCACATGTGCATTGTTTCCTGTAGGACTAATGCTGTACATTAGCATTAGTCCTACATTAGTCTTACTAATTAGCATTAGTCCTCTTGTGCTTATTTCTGCTGAAATATGCTTGTACATTTTTACCAAAAGGTGGCACTGTTGAGGTTGTTTGCAGGGAAGTGTACATACCAGGTAGTAAGCTATAGGGCTGATGAGTCTTCTTTCCAATCTGAACAGCAGGCTGTGGCCAAATGACTGACTGCTTAAGCTCTTGCTCTGTTAATGACACGAACAATTCTTCTGTATACTGGGCAGTATTAGTTTGAATACATGCAATACAGTTTTCTTGTATGTTTGTTACCTTTTGTATAGTGGGCAGGGTATGCATTTTTATTTTATGGTGGCATCTGGATGATCCCTCCTGCTTGAAGGGACTAGGGACATTGTGGAGCAGATTTTGAGGGGTTGCAGCAAGGAAGGAAAGGAAAACAGTTTCTGTTCATGCAGTGTTGGATTTCATCCTCTTAATTCATGTATAGTTCTAGAAAATGTTAAGCCCTTTACATAGCACATGATGATAATGATTAAACGACCCAAACATTAAACATTAATGCTAGAAAGAAAATCCAGCATTAAATGCATTGCCCAGAAATGTATTGTTAAGTATGTCTACAGATGGTATTGATTTACTTAAAGTAAGTAAATCTGGAATATTGTGTCCCGTTCTGGGCACCAAGGTTTAAGAAAGATACATAAAAATTAGAAAGGGTCCAGAGGAGGGCAACGATCCAGGGTTTGGAAACACTGCCCTATGAGGAGAGACAGAGCTGGCTATGTTCAATCTTGAGAAGAAAAGACTGAAAGTGGACATGCTATCCCTTTATAAGGACCTCAAAGGCTATCACAAAGAGGAAGGTCAAGATCTCTTTTCGCTGATACCAGCGTGTAGGACACAGAATAATCAATTCGGTTTGCGACAACCCAGATTCAGGCTAGATACCAGAGCAATATGACAGTGGAACCAGTTGCCTAGAGAGGTTGTGGGCTCTCTCACACTAGACAACATTCAAAAAGAAACTAGGCAGCCGTCTGAGTGGGCTGCTGTAAATTGGTGTCCTGCAACAGCAGGGGGTTGGACCCGAAGGCCTTAATGGCCCCTTCCAACTCGACTATTCTATGTGAAACTTTATTTGAACAGTTTTAGTAACTTGTAAAAACAATATCAAGTTTATATTTTCAATATGGCTGTAAGATACTGAAATCTAAGGTGGTTATATATAAATATAATTAGATAGTGAATCTTGAGTTATGCTGGGGGCAGAATATGGTCAGTTCTGCCTCGCAGGATAAGGTTAAAAACATATATCCTTCAGATCCTAAATGTTAGTGCAGATTTGCTACATTTGTGAGGAAAGTGATGTTGAAATCCACACATCAGCTATAGAATAAAGGGATAGCAATAAAGTTCAGTAGTAGAACCTGGCCAGCATTAACCCAGTGCAGCTATGCCAGTGGGGGAATACTGAGAGTTCTAGGAGTTCCTTCTGTCTAAAGATACATACATAGGATTGTGCCACAGAATCTGAAAAGCAGAGCTTGGCTGAAGGAATGAGCAGATTATGCAGCAGAGTGAGATACAGGAACCTGAGGAATATACCATTGAAAAACAGAGTAGAAGACGACAAGGAAAGTTATGTTACTGGGGGAATTTGGAGAGTTGAATTTCACACATTGATGTTAACTTTTTGGCTGGAAGCTTTTAGCTTTATGTGTGACAGCTTTAGTAAGCAATGAGGCTTAAAGAGAAATACTTTATGTATTTGAGAAGAAATTATTTCATTTAGGAATACTGCATAGTTGGGTATTTTTCTGTGCAGCACTTGGAAAAAGGAACGCAGAATAGAATAATGTTGCTTCAGATAGAGAATTCTTTGGCAATTCAGCAAATATTTTTATCTTCAGGGAATCAGAAGACACTGCTTTGCTTCTCCTGAAAGAAATATATAAAACTATGAATGTTTCTCCAGAACAGCCGCAACATTGATGTATGGATGGATACTTATCATTCAAAATGTGTAAGTAGCCTCAGTCTAAATACAGCACAAATTTGTGACTTGAGTGTTCAGAATCCCTTTTAGGACAGGAGCATCATGGAGCATTACGAAAAGTTTTTTTTTTTTTTTTTAATGTAGCAGTGTTTATCTGGGTGAAGAGTTGCCAGTGTACTTAAAATGTATTCAGGCCCATATGCTTTTTCATTTAAAAAAAAGTTTCCTGCTCTTGACTGAACTCCTTTATAGCCTCAGTGTAGGTAAACTCTATGTGCAGTTTAACATTATCCTCTCCTAGCTGAATTTAATAAGCATGTATAAACCATTTCTTCCCCCTTTTCCATTACTATTATTTGGAATATAAAGCAAACACAGCTACTTACCTTGCGCATTCCTGTGGCTTTGAACATCCAGATACAGAGGAAAGCAAAAAACAAATTAATCTTGATTCCATTTCTTTGTACTTTCCAAATCAGACCTTTCACATCTTCTTGTAATTAGCTGCACAGGCTGGTATTGAATGAATGACTGAAGCCATTGTCAAAGGAATCTTTCTGCAAACATTTTAAAATCATCTTCTAGTTATAGTAATCCTACATGAGTTTGGCTTTGCTGAAATACAGAAACTTGTTTAAGTCACTGAAAGCATAAATGACAACTTACTACAGTACAACGGGTAAAAATAATTTTGTGTTCTTCACCTTTAGATACTTGCAAGTACAGTTGTATTAGCACATGTGCACATATGCTGGGAATTAGCTTCCCTTCTCTATTTTAAAATGGCTGTTCTGTTGTGTCTGAAGAACAAAAGAAATGAAGCAGAAAAAATCCTAAATGTATACATATCATTGCAGGATTACATTCCAGAACACTGAACTTGTTTTTAAATTTTTGTTTAGTGGAGTAGCAAGTGTGTTGGTTCATATAACACCAATTTTTATGCTTAGTTATCCTACTAATTAAGTTACTTGGTTATCGTATTTAGCTAGAATGTACTGGAAAGAGTTAAGCTAAAGTTCTGTAGGCTTGAAAGGATTTGAACTTGCCCTGGTTATTGGTTTTGTAGTTCTTAATTAGGTACTCAATTTCCCTAAACACAGTTTAAGACCATTGTTTATGAAATGTTAAGCAGCATTTGCTTTAATCTCTTGGTGTTTTCTTGCATGAATCACCTGCTGCAGTTAGAATAAACAAATAAAACAACTCTAAAAATTATTATAATTGCTTCTGGGACTCATTGAAATATGCAGTTGGCTCCACTCATGCTGCTTCATGACATATTCATGCTTTGCTTGTAAACCTTCACTTTTCAATATGCAAGTGAATGCCTGTAATCTTATATACTACATGGCTTCAAACCTAGTTCTGGATTCCTCAAATGAGCTCACAGGTAATAATGTGAGAGAGTCCTGTACCAGCAGCTTGTACTGCTCAAAGATAACAGTATGGGTGCTCAAATGTGAAGAAACATCTCGACTCCCTGCAATTATTGAACTGTTTCTGTCATAACAACACATTTTAGTTAAAATGTATTATGCCTGTAAAGCCTCTTTAACTGTATTGTGCTATAACCTACTTTTGCTGAAATACTCTTTCTGATTGACTGTATTCTTTAAGTAGTGTGGCAGAATGAAAATTCCAGTCCACCAGATGGGCACAATATCTATTAAGGAATTTCAGAGTGAGCTAATTATACTCTTTTTTCACAAGAAGTATATTTGACCATTAGAAGGACCAGCAGACTTGTGTATAATGTCCCATTAACCTGCAAGCATCCTTCTTTACTTTCCTCAATATATATTATTTACAGTCATGGTACCCATGTGCATTTCGTGAATACTTAAGCAAAACTACTTATTCTGTTCTCTGGTGGTTCATTGTGAACTGAGCCACACTGCTGAGTGGTTGCAGAAACTTTTCTATGGGATGTATATTCAGATTTCTATCAGCAAAGTGCATTTTATAGTATTTCTATCACCACAGTATATTTTCTTTGGGAACATTTTGCCGTCTATTTCTTTGTTGTCTGGTTTATGTATCTGTGTGTTTAACTTGTATTTCTTTTTAATGAATTTCTATAGTCTATAAATCTGGGTGAAAGCTCTTCTTTGTGCAGATTGCCTTCTCAATTTTAACTGATCTAGCAGGGTGCATGTAGTCACCAATGTACTCCCATATATCATTTTATATCCTGCGTTTTAAAAAATAGTCTGGCCACATGACTTACAAATATATTAAAAACCTAAAGAATATCACAGTAGCCTCAAACAGTAAAAAGCTAGTCAGCATATGCAATTAAAAAGCATATGTGTATTCTTTCTTTCATGCCCTAGTATTTTATCCCTGCCTTTTTCATCAGTACTAGTTTGTTCAGAGAAAGTCATAGTGGACATGGAAAGGAGAGAGGCAGTCCTGTTTGTCCCTCAAGGTTTTTTTTTTACATTCCTTGAGCTGGGTCTGGCTGACAAGGGCATTGTAAGCTGGGGCCAAATGTAGTGGGAGCATTAAAACAGCCAGACAGGGAAGAGGTTTAGTTTCATAATTACAGCCTCTGGCACAAAATGAAAACTTGTAATTATTGTTCTTTTTGTTTTGCAGCATTTCTAATCTTTCTTCAGACTTGCCAACTATCTTTTGAGGAGGCAACACCAATTCCCTAGCCACAGATGACAGAAGTGTGCTTGGTCCACAGCCCTCAGATTCTATACTGCCTTTTGGTTTCATTCTGGGGTGTGGGGGTGTGTGTGGGGGGGGGGAGAAATGGGTAGGGGGAAAAGAGAATCAAGTCTGCTCTTCAGAGTGCATACAACTTTTTTTCCCAGCCTTGAATCATTTGTGGAATAATTGCCAAACATAAACAATCCTTCAAGAAATCTGTGGCATGCAATTTAATCTGTCTTGGTCAGCAAATTTATCAGACCTGTGTTTTCAATCAGGGCTAGATATTTTGTTTAATCTTTAACAGGACATATTATTGGTAAACAACAACAATCTTTTGATTTATTAAAAATATCATTTTGTCCCATTTCTTTAAAATGTGAACTTTAAAGTACTTTAATACATATTTAATACATTGAACCATTTATATTTGCTGAAATCAACAATTGGAGCCAATGACTTACAGCTCTTAAGTATACTGTTAAGATTTTATAAAATCTTCTTGAGATTCTGAGAGATTTTTGAGGTTTCTTGTGCTTTTACTTTAGGTAGTATAGATTGCTATTACAACCTGTTTCAGCACTTGCACTTCCTGCTGTGTGTCTTTCTTCCTAAGGAGTAGAAACATGTTTGTCTTGACAGTGGCGATCAGGCTTAGGTGCATGATTCTGCATAAGATTTGGGGACTGAACCTACAGAAAGCAGTGATTTATGACTGCAACAGGAGTCTTTTGAGGATCAGATTCAGAGCCTCGGCATTGCCAGGAATACTCAAGCCTTTTCCATGTGAAATAGTGATCGTTTAACAGAAGCATCTTTAAACACTGGACTTGCATAGCATTTTTGTGTCTGATTCTCCCCACACTGCACCCATGCACACATTTTGTCCAAAAATGATATTGTGATAGCTTTTATTTTCTTCTGTTATACAAATAGTGGATTCTTCTGGATTAGTAGCCTTTTTAAAACTATATAACTTTTGTTAGGAGTGGGTGGGAGTCTACATTATTTTTGATCTAGGCAGTGTTCTCTTGCAGAAGGAAGTACAAAATATATGAGGTAATGGTGTAACTAGATCCACTTCTGTCTCTGTGGAATCTATGCAATTTAAAATCTTGCATATTCTTTGATTAACAAAAAAGGTTAATTGCAGTATATTACCTTTAGTTATTTTATAACTCTGTATAAATATGTGATGAGTATTAAAAGATACTGTGATACCAGTGGGCCTTTCCAGCAAACATTTATTCTTTCAGTTACAATATTCACTTTCTATCTGAAATCAACAGGATGTTCTCTGTGTTGGTTTTTCTCATTCTGAATATTTGGTGCTCCATTCATCAAAATGAGATTTCACTTCAGTTATTTGTTAAACTAGAATGAATTCTGTCAGAAAAATAGTAGATGAAGCAGCTTCTTGTCAGATAGAATAACAAGTGGAAAGGCTATTCAATAAATCCTGGATTAAAGTTGTCTCCAAACAGGTTTCAGTATTGTATGATTGGTATTCAGATCACCCAGCATATAAAATACCAAAGAATGAACACGTGGAAAGATTTTAACAAATCAGCAACAGTAGTGAGAATGTAGAGCTTAATTTTTTAGTTGTTCAATGCAAAAAGCTGTGCCATAAGAGGGGAAAAAAGAATAAAACTAAAACATTACATTTTTGAATAAAATCTATAAAGATCCATAGCACCAGTGCTTTTTTTGTAAAAAAAAAAAAAAAAAAAAGTGCTGGAACTCACACACACCAGTCCCAAGCCGAGCAGAGCAGGGTCCCCAGCAGCTATCTCTCACTATCAGATTGCAGACACAATAGCAGCCTGCAGGCACTATGATAATGATGTTTGCTGCTGATCTGCTAGCCAAAATCACTTCGTAAAATCCACTGAAAAAATGGTGCCAGAATGGTGTTCTGGTGCATTCTATGACAAAAAAAGCTCTGCATAGCACTAGTTACATTTGTATTATATATTCCATATATATATATTAGTATATAATAGAACATACTACCATTGTTGAAAATAATTATGCACATACTTCAGCTAGGCTCCCCATGTACCAATGTATTTATCCATTTGTAGATTATGTCTGCAGACCACCTGTTCAAAAATATAAAGTTTCGTTAAATCCTCCGTCCATTGTGTTATTGTAGGTGACCATTTACCCTTCCAGTGTTGTAGTATTTGTTTTCTAGCTGTCAGAAAGGTGCAGAAAATTACGTAAATGTGTTAAATTCCAGGAAATAGATATCCTTAATTATTAAAGAACATTCCATCACATTTATCTGAAGTATTACCTTCCAAAAGGAATCTGCCATTGGACATTACTAAAATATAAAGAAAGAAGCATTAGCAGCATTAAATCTCCAACAATTGACTCATTTAATTAAACCCTTATCAAAGTGACACTGTGGTGACCAGTATACTTGAAACATATACTGGTCACCACAATGTCTCTTTTTTGCTGAATTAAACATAGCCTATAATCCATGGTCCCTTGCAAAATAAATTGACGTGCTCCCTTGATTGTGTAAGATGGGGTGCTCCATTATTCCATTTCATTCGTATATCATATTTGTTCACTGATAGTACTTATACACATGGTTTGTAGCATAATGTAGCTGTTCAGCCTCAATCAATCACATAGGCAGCTGTAAAAGTAGTAGAACTAAGACTGGAGTTTAACAGATGTTCTCATTGTATGTGTTGCCATGCAGCCCTATCTGTTGGTTTATAGTTACTTATTCCAATTTTGTATTGCCCAGTAGATGAAGCTCTCTGGGTGGTTCACAACAATTTAAAACAAAATGCGGTATAGAAATATAAATAGGGTCTAAACATAAATAAAAATGAAAACTAGAGTAAAACTTAGCAGTACACAGAGGTCCCTCAGAAGGACCACTGAGGATGATTTTGGGGTCTGTGCAGGTATATATGGGAGAAGATAATCCCTCAGCTTACCTGGCTCCAAGCCATTTAGGACTTTCAATGTTAATACCAGCATAATGAATTGGGCTCAAACATGGACTAGCAGCCATGCAGATGGCAAAGTACTGCCCTAATATGATCACTGACCAGTCTACTTTAACTTGCTCTCCTGTTTTGGACCAGCTGATGTTTTCAGAACAGGTTGTCTTATTATCCTGGAAGGTGCATCATCTGGCAACAATACCCATGTGTTGAGTCTCAGGTTATTGGCTCTCATCGAATATAATACTGTACCCAAACCCTGATTCAAAACAGCCAGTGTTTCACCTGAATTTGGTGAAAAGCTTTGTGTCATCTGTGTAATGGATGGCACCGCAGCTTACATCTCTGAATATCCTTCCCCAGCATTTTCATGTGTCTGTTAAACAGTACTGGAGAATGAAACTGAACTCTGTGGAACCTCATAACATAACTACCAAGGCACACAGCAATAATCTCCGAGCACCACCACCTGGCATCGGCCATCCTATCTGGAGCAGAACTGATGCAAGTGACTCCAGCTGCCAACTCGGCTGATATCATGGTCAACGTTATTAAAAACAGTTACATGGAAAGAAGATTGCACTCCCACTGTCTCTATCCTTGCAAAGGTTATCCAGCAGGGCAACCAAAGCAGCAGCTTTTCCAAAACCAGACCTGAAGCCCCATTGGAATTGTTATGTGCTGTCAAATCACCTCTCGCTTAAGGTGACCCTATGAATGAATGTTCTCCAATGTTCTCCAAAATGTCCTGTCCTTAACAGCCCTGCTCAGCTCTTGTAAGTTCAATACTGGGCTTCCTTTAAGGAGTCAATCCATCTTCTATTTGGTCTTTGCTTGCTGGGTGCACCTTCCTTCAGCTTAGACTGATTTTTCAGCAAAGGTCCTACTTGAATGAACATTGCCTTGCCACAGTTATTCATGTGCTGGTAATCATTTCTTGCCTGGATTACTGTAATGTGCTTTACATGGGGTTGCTTTTCAAAACAGTTTGGACACTCCAACTAATTCAGAACAGGACAGCCCAGCTTTTGACAGGAACTGGACCCCTTCAACATATTAAACCGGTCCTCTGTCATCTGCACTGGCTGCCTGTTGGTTTTCTGGACCAATTCAAAGTGTTGATGTTAATATAAAAAGCCCTAAGCTGCTTGGGGCCAGGATATCTGAGGGAATGCCTTTCTCTATACATCCCTACTCAATCATCAAGATCCTTGATGGAGGTCCTTTTCCAGGAACCATCCTTCAATGAAGTGAGGGGGGAAATGGCTAAAAGAAGGGCCTTTTCTGTGATTGCACCTCATTTATGGAAAACCTTTCCCAAGGAAGTGTGCCTGGCACCATTGCTGCTAGCTTTTTGGCACCCGATAAAGATGTTTTGATTCATTCAGGTATTTTAGTAGCTAATGGTTTTAACATTGTGTTAATTTCTATCGCTCTTTGGCTTGTGATTTGCCAATTGTTAGATTTTGTATTGTTTTAATTGGATTCTATGATTTTAATTGTTATTTAATTGTTCTTTTTCTTGTTTTATTGTAAGCTGTCCAGAGAACCCATTGGGCTATGGGGCTGCATATTAATCATCATCTTCATACAGGGAAAATTTACCTGTGTGGCAAAGTATCATGTTCACACCCACCACTATACACTACTGAACATTTTAAAAATTGAAAATTCATTTCTTGTCACTATTGTCTTTAATCACTAAGATTCTGTTTTGATGCTTTTGCTGTCAAAGGTGATTTACCAATATTTTACTGAGTCATTCACTATTTCCCCAATATTCTACCTGCTATGGCGGGTGGGAGGGGGATCCAATTCATGTTTAACATGCTGCATCTTTTGATAAAGTTGTGCAATCGGAGAAGTGGAAGTTAAGGTTGAACTTATAAGAATTTTCAACCTATTACTTAGAACTATTTGTCACTCTGTTGTAAATGTATTTTTATGAGAATCATAAGCAGTAATTTGACCATGGATGAAAGCCTTACTAGTCTACCATTCGGTGGAGCATGAGATAGTTTCACCTTAATTAATTTAAAAATATCCCTGTTGTTTAGTAAGAATCTGGTTTTTAACAGACTCATAATTTAGCAAGAAGGTATTAAGGCACCAAAGACCAGCAGGATTTGGGAAATGTGTAAATTGCAGGTCCAGGCAACTGGGGCATAATCTTTCTGGGGCAATGTTTCAGTTATACAGTCCCTGATTTGATGTAAGGAGGAAATGGGAACAAAAAAAGAATCCACTGGAATTGGATTCTTTTTGTGGCAGGCAGAAGGTACAGTCTTTCTCATCTGGATACAATATTCTCCATGGGCTAAATCCTTTCATGTAGGCTTGAATAGCGAATCTCACTGTTGCTTGCCTTTTGGGAACTGCTGTCCAGGAGGAGATCTAAGATCCAGTGTGATGTGTTCGAGGCCTTTATTGCAAGTCTTGAGTAAATCTAAGTCGAGTCTCAAGTCATTGGAAGTAATTTTCGAGCTAAGTCTCAAGTCTCTTATCAAGAGCCAGCTTTAACAGAAAAAAGCGAGGTGGTGGTGGGGTGAGTGGGAGAGTTATAACCCTCCCCCTCATGTTCCCATCTGCATTTGCAATAGCTTAACTGGGTATACCGTACACCCCCACTTTTGGAGGCACACCACCACCAAGTTGTGCGTTCCTCCCTGGAAAGAAACAGGAACAGAGCAGAGATAGCAGGCAGGGGAAGCACCGTTGCACTTTCTGCAGAGGATAGCAAAATGCATCAAAAAGATATGAGGCTTTCTCCCTATATTGCAAGCACTCCCCTGCCTCCTTGTGCCTCCCTCCCACCCCCACTCCCTCCCCGTGCCAAAGCCTTGCCTTCCCCCGTCTCACCGCCCAATCCTGCCCGTCCCTCCCCCTTGAAACTCCCTTGCTATCACCGCCTCTGCTCTTTCCGTGCCTGGATATCCTGCTGCATAGTAAGCCCTCTGATGTGAAAAATGTAGACTGCGGCTCGTTCGTAAAAAAGATAGAGATGTCAAGTCCCTCACTCGGTGCTCCCAAGTCGAGTCCGAGAAAAGCCACTGATGTGACTTGAATGGGCCTTGGAAGCAAGGCGCTTGACTCTAGTCCCCAGCACTGCTAAGATCGCATTTAAACCGCTCCTCCACAACCACACAATCATATGCAATATCAAACCGTTTGCTAAAACATTCGTGAAACATTGTTCAAGAGTCTTTATTAGGACCATACAGATTAATCAAAGCCATTACTTTCTAAATGTGGTTTTCAACTACAACAACTGTCAGGATCGATAATGGTTTGTTGAACTGATAACAACAAATAATATATCGATTAAGACTGCTACTGTGTGGGAGTGTTGCTTGGACCTCTTCTACCCAGTCTCTTGTCAGCTGATGTGTATCTGCTGCCATCGGATGCATTTCATTTTTTATTTTAAGCTACATCAGTTCCATATTCTGTTAGTTTAGAAGGCATTTCTTCTGTTTAATTGGATTCTTCAACCCCCTGACATTTCAAGAA